TGTTCGTATCCCCACCCACCTTCATCTTCTTGTGTTGCAGCTTTATCAGTTCTTCCTGTGTAGACTTTTCTAGAGTTTCAGGCCTCTGCATATATGTATCTTCTGGGTTCAATTAGGAGACAGAAAATAGCCTGGCAGTTTGGATAGGGAACATTGAATGTTAAAGTTTTGCACTGCAATAGGGAGTGAAGTCATGGTAGAGAAGTACAGAAGGAATAAAGAGAACCATTGAGAACGCAGAAAGGGTGGATACAGATGGCCGCCACTCTCCCAAGGGCTGGAGTAGAGCAGCACCAGGCTATGTCCCCAGGTCTCAGACCCAGGCTGCCCGGCCCGGCAGAGGAGCATCTGAAGTCACAGAGCTGCCTTGAGTGTCATTTTGGGTGCCATTCGTAGGGAGAGGTCATGCCAACATCCTTCACTGGGAAGCTGCTCTCAGTGCCTCACCTCAGAACTCAGGCAGGACTAGGGAGCAGCTGGTGGAGAAGGGCTGAGCTGCTGACACCATAAAACTCTCCAAACTGCTGTGGGAAATCTTTGTGAGAGAAACCGCGAATTGCACTTTGCTGTGGCACTGCCTTGGGCACACTTCCTGGGCAGTTTCAGTGTACTGAACTGCCAGTGGAGATAGGAGCACAGCCGACTGCAACAGGACAACTCCTTTCTCCTCAGCATCCTCCCAGTGCCCTCTGGGGACAAGGCTTTACTTGCCAGCTGACCCAGGAGCAATGTTGGAAGCACTGCAGATTTGGAGCTCAAAGGCAATAAATTGAAACCTAAAAGATATATAAAGAAGGGTATTCATGAACTCTATTTTCTGATAAGAAAAATCTGTATCAAGTTTGTGTTGGATAGTTTTAGTCAACTTGATACAAGCTGGAGTTATCTGCAGGAAGGGAGCCTCAACTGAGAAAAATGCCTCCATAAGGTTGGGCTGTAAGGTACTTTTTTTTTTTTTTTTAAATTAATGATTGACGGGGGAGGGCCCAGCTCATTGTGTCTGGTCATCCCTGGGCTGGTGATCCTGAGTTCTATAAGAAAGCAGACTGAGCAAGCCAGTAAGCAGCACACCTCCATGGCTTCCCCATTAGCTCCTGCCTCCAGGTTCCTGTTTGAATTCCTGTCCTGACTTCCTTCAGTGATGCACTGTCACTCAGAACTGCAAGCTAAAATAAACCCTCTCCTCCCCGAGTGTTTTGGCCATGGTGTTTCATCACAGCAATTACCCTAACTAGGATAAAGTCCAAGGTAATCAATTGTTTTTCCTCTCATTCTTTTAAACAAAAGTTTTGAGAAGATTTATTTTATTTTATGTATGTGACTGCGTGTACACCTGCACGCCAGAAGAGGGCAGCAGATCTCATTACAGGTGGTTGCGAGCCACCATGTGGTTGCTGGGAATTGAACTCAGGATCTCTGGAAGAGTAGCCAGTGCTCTTAACCTCTGAGCCATCTCTCCAGCCCAGTAAAATTTTAAAGATTTATTTATTTATTTATTCATTCATTCATTCATTCATTTATGTGTGTATGTATGTATTTATTTATTTAATGTATATGGGTGCCTTATCTGCATATAGAACCTGCATGCCAGAAGAGGGCACCAGATCTCATTATAGATGGTTGTGAACCACCATGTGGTTGTTGGAAATTGGGCTCAAGACCTCTGGAAGAGCAGCCAGTGCTCTTAACCTCTGAGCCATCTCTCCAGCCACTTACATAATCTTTTAACAATAATAATAGTTCACCATTTTACAGTTTTGTCTTTGAGTTAGCAATTACAGAGAATTCATCGGCATTGGGTCCCCATGTGTTGGAAGGTCACTTTATCTGCTAAAAGGAAAGTAAATGGAAATCATTATCAATGTGATCAATGAATTCTCGTCCTAAATTGAATTTAACGTCCTAAACTTTGTTTTAAAATGTGTAGATGTTGCTAAGATGCCACATTTGTACCCACTCCTTTGATCAGCCCAGTCACCCCGTAGAGCACCTTCTCCCCTCACGATGTGACGTTGCTTTATTGTGTGTCTTCTTTCTGTTCTGTGTGTGAGGGCAGGCACAGGCTGCAGCATCCACGTGGACTCTGGGATTGCTGGCAGGGCACCTGTACCTCTGCAGCCATCTTGCCAGCCCTTGCTGCATTTTATAACTTTCCCCAGTCTGTAGTAATAATTGTCTTATTCTGTGGAAACTGGCAAAAAGCACTTCAAATCAATTTTCTTGGAAAAATGTATTTGCTTTAAATATATATTTGTTTTTGTTCAAAAGATTAATAAGAATTTTTGTAACTATGTTAAACTCCACTAGGATGGTGCAGTCCTTCTGTTCTCAACAGAGCACTTTCCTCCCTGACTGTTCTAGGCCTCGGTGTGGTTATGTCACGGTGCTCAACTCATGGTCCAACCACCTCAACTTACTCATCTGCTTGAACTGACTCGATTCAGCAGGATGCCCCCAGCTCAGTACAGTCAGGGCGTTTGGGGGGCAGCAGGCGTCATATCCACTTCACTATCAGCGCTGTCTCAACTCTGCTCTGGGGTAGGATCCTTACCCCAAGGTAGTGTGGTCCTCCACACACTAGTGGTATTTATGATTAGCTAAAAGGCCCCTGTCACATACCTCCTCTGACCTTTTTGTGTATCTGGTTAAAAAGAATAATAAGCAGGTTAAATGTAGCTTGATTATAGGCTCTAAAGAAAAGAGAGTAATGAGGGAGGAAAAAGACTTCCTTATTTGAAGATGAAATGCTTCGCTTAAATACAGAGTTATATTCTAAGAAATGTATCCCTAGGCGATTTTGTGTGACTATCACAGATCATAGAATTTTCTTATACAGGCTGAGATGACTGCTGTGTCACTGAGATGATAAAAATCTCATGGGACCACCATCATATACATTGGCCTCTACTAACAGAAACACCATTATGTGGCATGATTGTAGTTTTATGGAGACAATGGTTTTTCTTAAACAACTGTTACCAACTGCCTCCTTTGTATGTAGTATGTAACACTTTCTTTGACAGCCTGGCTCTATGGTCTGAAAATTGGTTAACTCCTTCTTGAAGGATGTCTAAGATTTTCTTTCATTTTTCCCTATCACTCCCAAGCAGGATGAAATCTGCAAAAAATTATAATTGCTTTTAGCCAGTTCCATTCAGGAAATTCTCTCTGAAAATCTTTCATATAGGAAGCATCATGACTGCTATTTGACAAGAGTCATGTTCATCCCAAGCAGTATTTGTGATCCCCGAGTCATGGTGCAGAGCACACAGTTGTGTGAGGGTCTGGTTGCTGTTGCCCAGACATTTTCATCCTCTTCCTCACCAACACTAGTGACAGTAGACTAGGCAACAGCTTTGGGATCGGTACCATCTGAATGACTCAAGCTCAGACAGAAAATATGACATAAATGAGCATCTTTTTGTGAAATAGAATGGTCTTTCTGTAATGACCAGCCAAAAAAAATAGAGGTTGATGTCTTGTTTTTATATGCTTTAAAATCGAGTGAAGGCTGGGACACAGCTCAGTATTAGAGCGCTTGCCTGTCGTGATCAGGCCCCAGGTTTGATGTCCAGCACTGCCCACCAAAATGCATTTGAAAGCTGCATGTAGCTTTGAGGCCTTTAGCTTGTGAACAATATTATTTGAGTTGCACTGTGTCCAGAACTGTGTATTAGATGTTGTAAATCTCAGTGGGTTAGATATAATCTCATTTCCTCACAGAGATGGCCTGTAATCCAGTTGCACATACGAAAGAATCTATGTGCAATTACACATGAAGCATAACTGAGCTACTCACGGCCACATGCAGAGTGATGTCATATGAGCCTAATGCTCTGCTGAGGGGCTCAAACAGCGGACACTGGTCATTGTGCAGGATTAATTAAGGAAAAATGGAGCTTCTTGGTGGGTATCAAAGGAAGTAAGAGACAAAATTACCAAAATAGCCTTTCCGTGACTGTTAGATGCTGACTAACTTTCTAGAATATGACTTTTGTAGTATTTGGTGCAATGAGGTCTCTGGGGGCTCAGGCCTGACTCTAGAAATATTCTCTGGGGGGGGGGTGTTGGGCATGATAACACATGCCTTTTATCCCAGCACTCAGGAGGCAGAGGCAGGCAGATCTCTGTGAGTTCAAGGCTAGCCTACTCTACAAAGCGAGACCAGGACAGCCAAGGCTACACAGAGAAACCCTGTCTGGGAAGAGAGAGATGCTTTGGAAAGTCTCTTTTTTTCTGTAATTATGCATAGGGTTTCTATAGTAATGGGCATGTTGGCAGTCTCTGTGGGAAACTGGATTAGGCTTGTCTAGGAGGCCTCAAGCAATGGTGAAATTCTCTCCCTCCCTTAGCCACAAGCCGGAAATAAAATCATCCCATGCAACTTTATTGTAAAGCTGGAGAAAGCACCTGTGTTTGGGGGTAGTGGTAAGCAGCTAGACTCAACTTGCACCTCCACAGGGATGTAATTACAAACCTCTAGAATCTAAGCTTTGTGCTAGGTGATAATGGCTCATTAAAAAAGCCAGGCAGAGCCCTTACCTTCAGGTGCTGTCAACACAACGATCCTCCTGCATCAGCCTTTCCAGTGCTGGTATTACAGGCCAGAGCTACCTACCACACCAGCTTTGGGAGCATCTCAATTAAGACCATAGCGTGAAGGAGAGATTTAGTCATCATCGTGTGTGTGCCTGTAGTGAGTGCGTTCCTATGTGCCTGCAAACCACTGTCTTACACCGAATCCGAGTTTGTGTTTCCCCCTCGATTTGTAATCACTTTGGCTTTCTCAGTGCTCTGCATGATGTCACCAATTTGGCGTGTTTGTGACATGGATGGAGATGACTCTGAAGTAGTGTGTAGAGCCTCTTCTGCTCCACGCTCTGCATAGAGTGCAGCACCTAGCTGCCACCCTGGCACTTAGCTGCAGCACCCTGTGACGGTTCCCTCAGCTCCTCTTCCTTTCCCATTTCCTCCTCCCCTTATCTCTGGTTTCCACACAGATGCTGACATCCGGAGGAATGCGGTCTCAAATGGCAAAGCATCCTTCTCCCAGGCTTTGTGAGTATCTTTTCATTCATGTTAATAACCTTGGGGTACATGGAGAAACAAACCCAGATCGTGGCCTGTGGTTGAGAAAGGTCACAGCAAAAGCCATCCTGTTCCAAGAAGAGGCAGGGTTCAAGTGATTGCCCTGCCCTGTGGTGGCCACTGCATCTTTGAGAGGTACAATAGCAGCTTTACTGACTTTATTTTATCAACAGGCGTAGTGTCTATTTTAGTTAAAGAAACTGAACTTTAGAGAAAGGAAAATACAGAACTGTACAGGTACAGAAGTACAGATACTGCAGTACTACCACGTAATGCTGGTAGGTGAGCTCAGGACTCCTGTATAGTCATATAACAATTAAGAACTGTATATTTTTTAATTATTTTTATTTTACGTGCATTAGTGTTTTGCCTGTGTGTATGTCTGTGGGTGTCAGATCTTGCAGTTACAGACACTTGTGAGCTGTCATGTGGGTGCTGGGACTTGACCCCAGGTCCTTCGGAAGAGCAGTCAGTGCTCTTAACTGCTGGGCCATCTCTCCAGCCCAGAACTGTACACGTGTGTCTGGCAATGAGCAAAGAAACTGAATAGACACCAGGTGCAGCTGAGAAGTTCAGGCATATGGTCTTGGGTCCTAAAAGGAAGCTCCAGTCTTCCTGACTCTGGGCACTAACTCTCCTTGACTCTGTCTTCCCTAGTTCCCACTGCTTCCTACACTCCACATCAGCTGAGGCGGTGGCCATGGGCCTTCTGAAGCAGTTTGAGGGGATGCAGCTTCCAGCTGCCTCCGAGCTGGAGTGGCTAGTTCCAGAGCATGATGCCCCACAGAAGGTAGGCCTTTCCAGTCTTCCCCGCCCTGGAGCCTATGATCTTGTTTTCCTTTCTCGCATGGCTCCAGTCTAGAATGAACCTATGTATCTTTCCTTATTCAGGAAGACCATTTGCTACAAGTGTGTTGAGTGACTGAGTGAATGGTTGGATGGGTGAGTGCTAGCTTGCCTAGGTTTTCCCTGGCAAGTTGCTCATTCACTGTGTTCTTCCACATAGGAAAAGCTCCTGTTTTGTGGCTAAGTTTAAGACACTGTGAAAGTGTGTTGTTCAAACTCCATTTTGTTCTGTAGTTGAATCTTTTAAGACATGAGGCGGGCTGGCATGGTAAAGGCTGTGGGAAGTGTAGGGACAGTATCAGCAATAGGTAGCAGCACCCTAGAATGCTGTTTCTCTTTGCTTCTTGGAACTCAAGATCCTTGCTTTTGGTAGCGTGGTACCTACTAGTTTGTTTTTAAATCAGGGTTCATTGAAGCCTCAGGCCAGTGGTATTTCTGAAATATGCTTCATCGTCTCTGCTCCTCTTGTGTCCAGAAGGACTGCATATGTACTCCCATTGACTATCCAAGCCCACTCACATGCTCTTTTCTCCTGCAGCTCCTGCCTATCCCCGACTCACTGCCCATCTCACCAGATGATGGGCAGCACGCGGACATCTACAAACTGCGTATCCGTGTACGTGGCAACCTGGAGTGGGCTCCACCCCGGCCTCAGATCATCTTTAATGTCCATCCAGCCCCAACGTGAGTGCCCAGTGGCCATGCCCTTTGTCAGAAGGATCCGTTCTCTGCCTCTCTGCCTCTCTGCCTCTCTGCCTCTACCTCTGACTCTCTGCCTCCCTGCCTCTGCCTCATTGGGTTCCCACACAGTTCTGTGTTTCAGAAGCAGAGAAGATTCCATTTTAGTTTTAGCCCTTCCGCTTTTTCCCATACTTACCTGAATATCTTCCCCACCCCCTTTAAATCAGCATTTGCAGACTGTTGCCTTCCTCCCAGTACTTGTCAGCTCACTTCTCTTTTAAGATACATGCTTTTATCTTCCATTGTTCTTTCCTACTTATTATTCCTCACCCCTTGCATTTGCACAGAAACTGTGGCTCATTGTTGAGGATAATCATGTGATCACTGCCATGGCCTGACCCAGTAAATCCTGACCTCATAAACACTCAACTTTGTGTTGGTTCTCCCAGTAGAAGTGAGCTTTGTCCAGCTCTACAAAGGAGGTGGTGAATTCTCGGCTCTCCCACCCTTAACAAGAGTCTTTGTACCCTCGCCCTTCACATCTCAGCCTGTGTAGCTGCCATCTGCTAGCCCCATATCCTTCCCCTTTCTGTAGGAGGAAGATTGCTGTGGCCAAGCAGAATCACCGCTGTGCGGGATGTGGCATCCGCACAGACCCGGGTAAGTTCCCATCGGGACTCAGAGCTTTGTCCTCTCCCCTTTCTGTCGGAGGTAACAGGGGCAGATCGAAGGGGGGAAGAAGGGCCTGGAATAGGAGGCGAGGCCTAGGCACGAGTTGCAGTTGTGGGGAATTACCTGAGGGAGCAGTATGCTACAGCATCCTGATTAAACCGGTTCATGGCAGCTAGGTTCTTAGAGACTGGGTCTCATCAATTCTGGTGGGTTTGGATTCCTCAGTGGCCTCCAGGATGGGGTGCAGGAACCATAGATCCCAGTGTGTGCATTTTTTTCAGCTTTAGAAAATTCCCACAGGAGTGGTTAGAAGCTGCTTAACCCTCCCTGCCTGCCTTTGAATGGTGACCAGCCTCTGGGTACAGTCACAACTAGCCTTTGGCTTTCCCGGTTTCCTAGATTATATCAAGCGGCTGCGGTACTGTGAGTACCTGGGCAAGTACTTCTGCCAGTGCTGCCACGAGAACACCCAGATGGTCGTCCCCAGCCGGATTCTGCGCAAGTGGGACTTCAGCAAGTACTACGTCAGCAACTTTTCCAAGGACCTGCTCATTAAGATCTGGAATGATCCCCTCTTCAACGTGCAGGACATCAACAGCGCCCTCTATAGGAAGGTCAAGCTGCTCAATCAAGTCCGAGTAAGACACCTGACATGCCTGTGCCTCCTCTCCCAGCTTCTGGGTCTGTTGTTGCACTTTTCTGAGGTCACCACACTCCTTGTCACAGTCACCATTCATGTTCTTTGTACTTTCTTGTCTGTCTGATGTTCAGTGCTGGGTACTGAGCCCATAGCCTATTGATGCTTATAGGACCAGCAAGCTCCCTACCACAGAGCTACACTACCACAGTTCCTGGGTACCATAGAGCTACACTACCACAGTTCCTGGGTACTTGTCCTTCCAGGGTCTCGAACCTCGAGCAGCTCTAAGGCTGTAGATAGCACTTGAAAGCAAAACAGTTTCTGCACTTACCGAGAACAGGGTTGGGAATGTGAATCCCAGAGTTCTCAGTGGCTGCCAGGTATCTGAATGAGCATACTGAGCTAGAAGAATGGCCTTCCTTGGCCAAAGACCACTTTGGAAGGTGTTGACTGACAGGTTCCAGGGCAGTGCAACTTTGGCTACTGTGTGTAAGGTTTGAAGGCACTAGCTAGCCTTCTAACTGCTCCTTCTCTCCTCTTCTCCACCCAATGTCTTGTCCTCAGCTGCTGCGGGTTCAGCTGTACCACATGAAGAACATGTTTAAGACATGCCGACTGGCCAAAGAGTAAGTCTTGTACGGAGGCCAGAGTCCTCTGGCTACCCTGATGTCTCTGAAACGAGCATGTCCCAACGGTTGGCTCTGTTCTACGTGAGAAAGAGTTTGCAGAAATGTCCAAAACCAGTAAAGGGGAATCCTTGACAGTAATTACATCTGTGTCTTCTCTGGAAAGGACTGCATGTCCAGGGCCGGACACCATTTTCCAAGCTCATTCTACAGGGTTTATAAATGAAATATGTGGTAGTATGGGGAAGCTGGGGTAGCCTAGAATACCTGGGCTGGCTGAATGTCGCCAGCCCCCACTCACTTCATTCCTGCTGAGTAAGGCTTTCTGTACTGTCACATGCATGCCGCAAGAGATGTTTACTTCCTCTCCCTCCCACTTTCTCTCATTTCCTGTAGGCTTTTGGATTCCTTTGACATAGTCCCAGGCCACCTGACAGAAGATCTCCACCTATACTCACTGAACGACTTGACTGCAACCAAGAAGGGGGAACTGGGGCCCCGTCTGGCTGAGCTCATTAGAGCAGGAGCTGCCCACGTGGAGAGATGCATGGTGAGGGGGCCGAGCTCTACCATGCAGCCTAGCCATTGCTTAGCGAAGAGGAGTGGAGGGGCAGGGTTCTTGCCATTTAGCTCTAGAAACTTGACATGGCCAGTTGACATGGAGAGAAACCAGAAGGGCTTGCTGTTCTCTTTAGTGAGCAGTGAGCTCACCTGAAGAACCTGGGGTTAGAAGAGGAGCACTGGGGAGCTGGGGCAGGAGGCCATGAGTTCAGAGGCAGCCTGGGCTGTCCAGCAAGACCCTGTCTTGAGAAACTAAAAAGAATCTGGGCAGGAGACTGAGCAGCCTTCAGTGAAGACTTGCCATACTCCAGAGGACTTTGGACCAGATTCTAGAGGCTGTTAATTCAGTCACAGTTTCAGATAGTTTGCTGTCTGTGTAAGCATGTTTTCTTCTTTCTGGAATGAAGGTATTTCTTAGATGAACTGTCCTTTCCTCTTGAGCACTTGAGAGCTAATGAAATAGCTTATTTGATAGCATTTCTAAAACTTCTATTTACAAGTGTAACTTAACTGTCGTTCATAATAGGATCAATAATGCTAGAAATCTGGACATGATACTTTTAGATCTGCCCATCTCGGCTGCCCGGTCTGTGGCCTGTGATGGGGTGAGGGCTGTGTGTGGTGGGGGTGGGGTGGCCATATGTAGTGTAACCAACTAGAGGGCATTGTTTGGGGGAGACACCCTTGACTCTACCTTTCATCTTAATTAGTCGTGGTACATGTTTCAAGATAAAATCAATACCCAGACTGGATTGCAGATTTGAGGACCCTCTTCTCAGTACCATTCCTTACCCCCTTCCTCTTCAGTTAAGGGCTGTTCCAGAGGCCAGGACTTCTCAAGCCTGTGTCTTTTGTCCTTACCCTAAGTTTTCTGTGATGGTGCCCAGCCCTGGTTTGGCTCTCATGTTCAGAAGTCCAGCCCTAGGCTCTACACCATGGACAGTAGACCCCTTCTGGGCCAGTCCCTCACTCTCCTGATGCCATTCTCCTCCACAGCTGTGCCAAGCCAAGGGCTTCATCTGTGAGTTCTGCCAGAATGAGGATGACATCATCTTTCCTTTTGAGCTGCATAAGTGCCGGACCTGTGAAGGTGAGGACGGGTGCTAGCATTGAGACAAGCAAGGCTGGACATGGAGTGAATGTATTCCCTGAGAGGCCTCTGTTAGCAGGAGTGTGTGTCAGTGAGTAGCTCCGCAGCCCTCCACTAGAGCATGAGCTCTGGGAAGAAGCGGCTGTGCTGGTGAGTTGCTTCCAGCTCCGATTAATACAAATCGTTTTCCTCTCCCTCTTTTTCAACCAAATAGAGTGTAAAGCATGTTACCATAAAGCTTGCTTCAAGTCTGGAAGCTGCCCCCGGTGTGAGCGCCTACAGGCCCGGCGGGAGTTGCTGGCCAAGCAGAGCCTGGAGTCCTACCTATCTGACTATGAGGAGGAGCCCACAGAAGCCTTGGCTCTAGAGGCCACCAGCCTGGAGACCACCTGAGGAACGCACCTAAGCTCTTTGTCTAAGGGTCTGACTAGGGTCAGATAGAGAACTGAGCCACACCTTCAAGGAAGATGAGGCCTTTTCAAATATATATATTGTCATTTTTTTATGACTTGTCTGCCGTCCAGATGTAGGCAACCTTTATTGGTTGATGGGTCCAGTCTATTGTGACAGATGACTGTGGGCATCGAGTACTGTCATCAGAACTGACACTGGGAGTGCCTCTTGTCAGGGACTTTTGTCAGGACATCGAGATCCAGCTCTTCTGACACGTTTGGCCTGCTCCACTGGGACCAGATCTGGTTACAGCTGCAGCTCAAGGATCATTCCCACTCTTGACGTAGTCCTCAACTTCTGAGCCAGGCCTTTCTCAGCCAATGATCTTTTCCTTTGCTGCTGAAATAGGAGAATGGTATTTTCTCTGTCCCAGTCCTGAGGCCCGGAAGAGAATGGGACTACACAGTGGGCATTCTGTCCAACTTACTTAGGTATTTGAGGGACAGGTAGGAACAGAGCCGTCATTGTCCTAGAATCCTCAGAGACCTCAAGAGGCAACCATAACTCCCCTGTTTCAAATATCCCAGACATAGGTGGGCACGAGCTGCTCGTGTACTCTGGTGGGCTTGAAGCAAAGAACAGAACTGAGTCTTGGGCCAGGCCCATCTGTAGCCAGCACCGCAAGCGTAAGTGAGGCTGCAACTGGTGCTTAAGGCATGTTTATTCAGACAGAGGAGCCGGCGGCCTCCCCTGGGGTGTTCAGTCTCTCAGTTAGCTAACTTGAGTGCAGGTATGCTTCAAGCTCAGGCAAGTCCCTGACGCGGACCTCAGGAGAGGATAGAAGCCCCACCCACCATCTTAACATGGGTCCCTTACTGCTCTGTCTGACTGTGTGACCATTGTGGTTCTAAGTACAGGAGTGACCCAACTCTGTTCTCCACCCCTTTCCCCCAGCAGAGCTGGGCCCTCCCTGTTGGCTGATCTCTTGCCTTAGTTTCTTTTCTCAGAGTTGGGAGAAGCCCTCCCACTCAGCAGCACTAGAGAACTTGACAGTTTGTGAATGTTTCTGTTTGCTCAGAATAACAGGCGCCTTTATGCCACTTATGCACTTAACACTCAGCCTCGGTGACACATTGAACCATCCATTTCACGTTACTGATTGTAATAGACTCCCCCTCCACCCCCACCCCCTATCACCTAATGTGCATTTCTGTGAGAAGTTTCCTGGACGAGGCTGGACATGTCTGTGATGGTGTTTGAATTGCTGCAGGTCTAACATCTGTGTAAAGACTGGTCAGGGTTGCCTCTCAGAGCCTGGTGGTTCTGTGAACTAATGACCATCATGCTTTTGTTCTGGGGCTGACTTCTGGGTCTTCCTGTCCATGGTAGCTACTAAAATCATTGCTCCGGGCACTGCCCCAAGATGGAGGGATCTCCCTGAGAGGCAGAAGGGCTGTCAATGTGACAGCCAAGCTGAGCTCTAACAGAGCAAGAGGGAATGTGTCAGGGAACTGGTCCAGGTGCCTTCCTCTGCCTCAGCCTTGGGAGCTGACGGCTCTGTGGCGGGGTGACTGGGACTGTTCTCAGGCAGAAAGCTGAGGCCAGGGCCAGTGGGAGTTGGTTAGAAGTCCCTTCCACTCAGTTGTCACTGAGTCAGACCTCGGATTCAGACTCTGACTCCAGTTCCAGTTCGTGGCTAACTTCCCGTCCAGCTGCTCACTCCAAGTCACCACACTGGAGGAGGCTGCCGCCACCCATGCTCCAGCTGACCTCAGCCTTCTCGCTGACTTTCCAGTTTCCCTGCCCCCCCCCCCCCCCCCCTTAGAGCACAGATCTCTGCAGTGCTCCGGATTCTGTGCTGTCGTTACTGACCAAATACCCGTGTGTTTATTTATTTGGGAATGGGGGAAAAGGGACCGAGGGGGTGTTTCTTGTGAAAGCACTTTGTTTTGTCACTTTACAGTATCTGAGTCTTCCCGGCTGCGGGGAGAGGCATCCAATACACTGAGGAGAGTTGCCTCGGGGGTGAGGCGGGAGGGGAGCATCACATCTGTACAGAGGGAGACAAGCTCCAAGGCACTGAGAGATGTGGAAGCCAGGCGCTCTGCACTTAGGAGGCTCCCTCTGCCAAGGGTTGAGAGCGTGTGCTAAACTAACAGAAAAGGAGCAAGAGTCTAAATAAAAGCATTCTGTTTGTGTACAACTTGTGTTTTGAACTGGATTTTCAGCTGCTGTAATTCGTGCAAATTCTAACAGTTCATGGTCATCTTTAATAAACTAAGGAAATTAAATCTTGCCTTTTATTTTGCTGTCTTGGTGACTGTGCAGCAGTATGATGTATCTGCTGAAAAGCAACCAATCTGAAAATTACCCGTTTGATTTCTTTTTCTTGTTTCAAGACAGCATTTCTCTGTATAGCCGTGTCCTTCCTGGAACTCGCTCTGTGCACCAGGCTGGCCTACGACTCACAGAGACCCACCCGCCTCTGCCTCCCCATTGCTGGGATTACAGGCGTGAGTGGGCCACCACAACCTGGCTTTACCCGTGTGATTTTTTGTGGAGTGTTCTCCACATGACTGCTTTTGTTAGTTATTTTATTACTGTTATTATTGTTGGGCTTTAAAGACAGGGTCTCACCATGTGTCCCAGCCTGGCCTCAAACTTGGAATCTCCTGCCTCTGCCTCCCAAGTGCTGGGATGATAGGTCACATACACCGTACAGTCTGTACATGGCTCTTTAAATGTCTTTTTTATCATCTCCCACCACTGTCTAAAACCCACACTTACCTCTACAAGCCTAACCACCAGTCACTTAGATTTGAAAGCTAGTTGTTTGTGACTCCCTCCCACTACCTGTTCTCAACTTCATTGATGGTCTTTTTTTTTTTTATCTCGTTCTATTTCTCCCCCTCCCACACAAATTCAGGCTCTTCTCAGTTGTCTGGGGTCATGTCAGTTTCTTCCTGTTCATTCACTTTCATCAGATATTCAGGTCCCTGCTATATACCAATTTCTCTGGTAGTCTGTGGGGCTATAGCAGAGAGCAAAATGTAGACAGGCTCTACCTATACAGAAGTGAAACACTGTGTGATAGACAGACATTGCACAAAATCACCAGGGTGAATGTGTGTGGTCAGGCCTTGGTTAAAAAGCTGGACGTGGCGACGTATGCCTTTAGTCCTAGCATTTGGGAAACTCAAGAAGCCAACATTTTCAGAAAAAAATATAGTAAAAGCTACCACAAATTTAAGAGCACACTCTAGTAGCTATTTCCATTACATTAAATATTATGAGTTACATAAAGATGATTTTCAATATGCAAATGTTAGGAATATGCAAATGATATTGAGACATGTAAATATTAGGCTATTTTATGTGAAAGATTTGAACGTTGTTGGATCTTGGGAACCCTAGAACCAATCTGCAGATAAGGCACAGCTAGTCATTAATCCCTGCTAATGCTACAAAGGAAAACAACAACAACAACAAAAAAAAATCAGGATACCCAACTGGGACTGGAGAAAGGTAAAGCCCCTAAGAGCGATTCTGTAACAACTTCTCCAAGAACGTGGCTCAGGGGCCGAGATCTCAAGACGGGCTGGCACATGTGAGGATCCTACAAGGACCTGGAGCCGGCACATAAAAGGACTTGCTGATTCAGATTCGTTTATGTCCTGTAGCCCATACTGGCATCAAAATTCTCCTGCCTCAGTCACAGATATGCACCATCCCAGCCAATTACAATGTTAATTTTAGAAAATGTGTGCGTGTGTACCACGGCGCTTGTGTAGGCTAGAGGCCAACTTTTGGGAGGGAGCCATCTCCTTTTTGTTGAGTGGGGCTCTCTGACGTTTCCGCTGTGCTGCATACCCCAGGCTAGATGGCCGTCAGGCTTCTGGGTGAGTTTCCTGTCTCTGCCTCCCATCGTGGTGTAGGAGGGCTGGCTTTTGGATGATGTACACCGCCACATCCAGCTTTTCACATGGGTTCTGAGGATCAGACTTGAGTTTGAGATGTGGTTTCCAAGGACCGAACCTGGGTCATCAGGCTATTGCTATTACCTGCTGAGTAATCTCCCCATAACTCTCCCCCCCCCCCCGTCCCCCTTAAAGACAAGGACTCACACCACCCAGGCTGAACTCGACCTTGCTATACAGCTGACAATGACTAAACTAATCCATTTGTCTCTGCATCTTCCAAGTCCTGGAGTCTGCCTCTAAATAGATCCAGAAATTTTAGGTTTTTATATTGATAATTGGTGCAATAGACAAAATGGTATTATCCTAAAACTCATATTGAAGGCTTTGGGAGAAAAATGGTGGTCATTACAGCCCAGCCACATGATACACCTTATAACAAATGCAAGAAAGCAGGCAGCTCTTTCCATCGTGTTGGGGTGCGGCACAGAGACACCTGTAAACCAGAAGGAGTGTTTATAGTCACCAAGACCCCAACCCTGCTAGCATCCTGATGTCAGACTTGAACCACCAGAGCCTTGAGAGAAATCTTCATCAGGTAAGCCTGCCTCTTTATGGTATTTTTAAAACAGCAGCTCAAGTTAGCCAGTGGGAAAGCTGCTGAAGAGTTTTATCTGAAGAGGTGGGTGACTGATCAAAACGCCATCATTCGATGCAGAGAAAGGGCGGAGCAGCGGGATATTCTCCTGGGGAGGCGGCTCTAGCATAGCTCAGAAGAGGTTCTGTTGGACTGTCACCTCATCACCTAAGAACCTGTAAGGAGACAGAGCCCATCTCTTATCAGTCCCATCTCAGCTTAAGCAGAGAAGAATGTTGGGAACAGCACATTTCACAAGATAGGGTAGAGTAGAGGCTCAGGAGAATTGGGGATGCCTCAGGAAGGACAGGGACCAAAGAATCCCAAGACTTCCCCTTGAGCCTGCTGCCAGCAAGGCAGGCCACACAGTAACAGCTGAGCGGAAGACGTGTGCTCCTGAGTAATGGGGACACCCCAAAGAAAGGAAGCTGAACCGAGCAGTCACGGTGTGGCGCTGGCCACGCTCTGTGTGCATTCCTGTGGCCTCTGCGGTGCGTGGGTGGCGCGCCTGGACTAACAGCAGAGATAGGAGCTAAGTTAGGAGCCAAGCTGTTTCCTTTCCCTTTGAACTTTTGGTTTAAAATACGCACGAATGATCACTGCCCTTCTGCCCTGATCAACTGCAGTCCGTGCCATAGTACCATACCTTCTGCCCAGGACATCAAAGGGCTCGTGACTTGCCTACTTCAGGAGCTTGAAGTTCCTGGCAGCAAAGATGAGGATGATTAGGAAGGAAACGGTCTACCCAGCACCACTCCAGGAGTGCAGAGAGCTCCGGGGTGTGCCACATGCTCCAGTTCTGCTTTGCCCAGTTAAGCCAAGAGAAGGGAAAGGAGGCTTAGGCAGGCAGAGCCCGCTATCACTTTTGCTGGCTGTCTCCTTTTCCCATGTGGTTACTGGAGTCCTAGAGTCAGGGGGATTAACTTGTTTTGCTCCTAAGCTGTTTGCAATTACTCTCTGTTGTTTTGTCTGTCTGTCTGTCTGTTTCTTTGACACAGGGTTTCTCTGTGTAACAGAGACCAGGCTGCCCTTCAGCTCACAGAGATCCTCCTGCCTCTGCCTCCCAATGCTGAGTTTAAAGGCCTGCACCACCATGCCCAGCTGCAATTACTTTTTAATTACTGATTTTTTAAAATTAGAACTCTCTCATGCTAATAAAACTACACTTATTTTTATGTACTTTCCTTCTTTTGTGGATCTTTTCATTCTCAGCATGTTTTACATTAATTGTGGTATATGTATAATTTTTTAAGGGTAAGGCAGTGGTGGGTGAACAGGATTCTAAACCTTCCGTTGCTGTGACACTCTAGTACAGCTCCTCATGTTGTGGTGGTCCCCAACCATAAATCCTTTTTGCTGCTACTTCATAACTGTAATTTTGCTACTATTATAAATCGTTATGTAAATACCTGTTTTCCAATGGTCTTAGGTGACCCCTGTGAAAGGGTTAATCAAACCCCAAAGGGGTGATGACCCACAGATTGAGAACCACTGCTCTAGAGACTAAATGGGCTTTGGGTTAAGGAAAGAAGTTAGGGCTAGTGAGATCGCTCAGAGAATAAAGCACTTGCCTTAAAAGTCTGATTGACCTCAGTTCAGGCCAGAGAGCCCTGGCACTCACTGGGACAGGAGAGAGAGCCCTGGAACACACTGAGAGAGGACAAAAGCAAAGGCAGGATATTGACTTTGCTTGTTCAACTTAAAATGATGGAAGCCATCGCTGTGTGGTCCTTTTCGTGTGTGTGTTTGTAACTAGTTCTTGGCTGCAGTTCCTGCAGTTAGAGATCTACTATTTAGTTCTTAAGATGGAAGCACATAAGTAAAAGTATTGCACAGAGAGTGCTTTCTGTGTCCCGGGCACTACTCTAGATTATCTCTAGATGGGATGACTCCTTAACCCTCCCAAACACTCGTTGAAGTAGGTAGCATTATCATTCCACTCTAAAGGAGTAACCAAGGCAGAGAGAGTTTAAGTAACTTGCTTAAGACATCCCAGTAGTCAGGATTCTCTAGAAGAGCAGAACTGATAGAATGAGTAGATATGGAAGAGGTTTACTAGGTTGTCTTAGACGATTTGGGCTGGGCAGGCAGACAATGGCTGCCTTCATACTGGAGAGGCCAAGAACCCAGTAGTTGCTCAGCACACAGGGCTGGCTGCCCCGGCAGTTCCAGCGTGGTGTGGAAGGCCTGGCAGGTCCCTGGAGAGTTGCTGGTCTTCAGTCCACACTGGAGGTCTGGAGAAGCTGTGTCCTGATGAGTGGAGAAGCTGTGACAGTGGCAAACAGTGTCCGGACTCGCCAGTGAGACGCCGAAGTGAAGCTTTTCCCTGGGACCCCACTTTTCTGGTCCTCTGTTGCTCTTCTTTGACTGTGAAGTGGGTTCTCTGGTCAAAAGCAGAATACCACGAGAGCAGACAAGGCATTCTGTAAGCCCGTGGACCATAGTTAGCAGAGAAGCATTACGGGCAGAACAGGCAAATCTATAACCAGAACACGTATGATTTCCAGTGAGGACACAGGGTTGCTCTTTCCATGACAGAAGTGGGCCAACGTAGTCAGTCTGTTACCAGGTCACTGGATGGTCGCTCTGGGAAACGACACTGTATCAGAAGCTCAGTGTCAGCCTTTGCTGCTGGCCAATTTGGCACTCAGCAGCAACTGTAGCCTTGTCAGCTTTGGGGAGAGGAAGTTATGGAGACCATGCACAACCTCCATGGCCACTTTGATGATCCATGGGG